ATCCTGTGCTGAAATATGATTACCCTTTCGATACGCTCTAGTTGTTCATTGCCTTCCTGTCTCTAATAAAGTGCTTTCACTTCCCAGCCTTTCAATAAGCTGTACTAAAGGGACCAGACACTCTTCTGGGCAGGCTCCGTTTGATAAATGATCATGTCATGCTATCACTTTGAGGTCTGCTACAAAATACTGACGAGCAAATTATATTCCATTGGGGAGGGTGGGGAGGGGGAAGGGCAAGTGCCTGAGTCGGCAGCTGTAGTGCTGGCAATAACTTTCTTACCAATTAACGGTGGCCATTTAAGAATTGGTATTTGAACAGTATGTTCCAGTTTTTATTGGAAACGTCTAATCCAACTGCCCCAGCTACATCTACAGACAGCAATTTGTCACCAGTTTGATTACCTGTCATAATCTATTTGAGAAAATCTATAATTTTTCTCTTGTTCCTGACTCAATTCTAAAGTGAATGAATTCATCTTTTGTGATATCCTCTTGTCATAATCAATACTGGGCAGAGGTTGAATAAATTAAAGACTTGGGAAATAAAGATTTTTCCAGGTATTTCTAACTATATTTTGTCTTTCTATCCAAATACTCACATAATTCACAATCTTTCCAAAACTAATAAACTTAATAAATAAATTATATTCTGTCTTTTTGTAAAAAGGAATAATTGTGGGGTTTTTTTTAATTGACATAGTGTTTTAACAAATTTTCTAAATTCCAACCCAAATACACTGCAGCCTAGAAGACCTTGTGATCCTGACTAAAGCAAACCAGAATCTCAATACAATGAATAAATGAAGTAGCAAGCAATAGAAAACAAAGAGAAGCCAATTCTATTAAAATCAATTATATTCTTGATAACTGACCTAAGACATACCTTTCGCATGTGGTAGCTAGTCATAGTTATTTTGCACAAATTCAGAAAAGTTGCTTAATTTTCTTCCGTCTACTGTTCAGACTGAACTATATAAACTTCAGTCAATTGAAACAAGGTCATATGCCTTGATGTCTGTTAATTATGCTAACAAAGCCCTGTATTAGCCACGACCTTAAGTGCTTGAATTAATTAGTCCTAGTTTTCAACTATGCTGAAATCAAAGTGGCATAGTTGAAAAGCGAAGACATATGGGTTTTCAAAATAAAGTGAAAAAGCTGAGAGAAATGCTTAAATATAATTATACTAAATACACCAAAGTGAGAAAAATCTATATAATATTGTATTTAATGCATTTCTTATGCCCTTCATATTTTCCTCTTTCACAAAGATTCCATGTTATTCCTGCAGTTCACCAGAGCTGCTCAGACACAGGTAGCCCCCCTACAGCTTCTCTTCCCACTAGGTGAAGCACAACTGGGTACAGAGGTCTCCAACACTTCCCTGTCATGCAGCACTGCCACGATCTCTGATCAATGCCAGACATTCCTGGGGAAGTTCTTGATGGCAGTGATGGGAAAGCAAGAATAGAAAAACAGGGCACATAGTGCTTTTGGCATGAAAAAGAGATATACATCAGAGTTTTGATAACACAGGGGCAAGAGAGAGGAGAATGGACGCAGCTCATGTGGGAATGAAAGAGCATTTGCTGTATGTAACAAGTTCAGCCACCAGAACCAATTAAGTGTATAGAATTGTATGCCCCTAACATCCTTGCAGCTTTTACAGTTGTAGAACAATGTATGCCGTGCAATCATGAAATTCAGGGATGCAAAAAAAAATGAAAATATATTCAAAACTTTCCTCAGCTACTTTTTTGAACAGTCAGTGGCTGTATAAGATTGTTCTCCTGCAAGATGTCCACTGTGAGCTAAAGCCTCTTACACAGAGCTAAAACTGACTTTTTAAAAAATACTTTTCATAGCTTACAGCTTCTTTCAACAGTTTGGTTTTTATTTATTTAAGAATTTAGGTTAGTGATAAGTAGAGCCTACCAAAATGTAATCCCTTAAAACTCAGTAATTGTAGTTGGAAAGTTGCATATCCACCTGCATTACACTGTATATTAAACACATTTGATATGTCCATTAATTTTACAGGTCTGCAAAAATATGAATAGAAATTCCTTCCCAGTTCCATATATTTCAAAATTTGGAGATTGTTTAGAAAACACACAGAACAGTCACTTTCAAAATATACTGGAGCTTAATCCAAGTGTAATGGATAGCAAGCTCAAATGCTAATTTTATAATTTTTCAACAGTTGTGACCATGTAACATAAAAATCTACAGGTCTAACTGATTTGGGTAAATATAATTCTGTTTTTTCTGATGATTAAATAATAAAAGTTAATAAATAATAAATAATATGTACACAGTTACTGAATAATGCAGCCATTTTGTCCTCTCCTTATTGTGCTTCAGAGAATAATGGATTTTCCTCTGAGATGCTGAAAACGCTGCCTCTGAATTGGCATCCTCATTCTTAAAACTAATTGGTTCTTTGGCTATGACAATTTTCTTTTAAGATCATCACAACAGAAGTATATTTTATTTAAAAGAAAGAAAGAGTCAGTGTAAAAATCTCTGTAATATATTTTATTTAGAAATTGATTCATTTATAAAGGGAAGCTTCGGTGAGATTCCTATTTGAAAAAAGCTTTTTGCTATTTTGATGTAACCAACATATTCAATGTGATTTTAATTATTCAGCAAAAGCCTACATGAACTGTATTTTGATGTAAATTCAATCACAGCTGCCAGCCAGGACTTGAAATACAAAGCATTAATAGTTCTGTAGTAAAAAAGAAGGGCATTATTCAACATTTTTTAATAATAGAGTGTAAAAAAATGAAGAGTCCAAGTAGAGTAAATTCATCTAGATAACTGACAGGTTATGCACACAAAATACTGCAATCTCCTCACTAGTAAAGAGAATTGGCAAATTCTCTCAACAATCTGTTAAAAATAAGTTGTGTTCTCAGAAGTAATAAGAATAGTTATTTTAATAATTACTAATTAATAATAACTAATGAAAGTTAAGTTTACTAAGGAAATAAAATGTTTATGCTAACCACAAAATACAGATTTTCTTTCAATCAAGACTATCTTGGCGATTTGGGTTACTATTTAAACCAATTCATTACAGTATTAATTAACAAAAATATAAATTTTGACATCCTGGGTAAACACTTCTCCATTTTTAGTCTCAGTAAGATTTTTATATGAGAAAAGACAGCATGCTTGACAAGCCAGATTCAGTAACTGCAGAAATAAAATTTATTTTTACTTATATATTTAATAATAAAGATGAATGTGACTAATTTCTTAACACCCATACTTAATAAAACAAACATTTACTTTAATACCTTCATATGTTTAAGTCGATTGTCGACAGCTTTAAGGTAAGAAAGATTTTCCAAAACTGCCAGTTCTTCTAATTCATCAATGTTGTTATTGCTGATATTCAGTACAGACAAAGATTTCTGAAGGAAGAAAAGCAGAAAAATAAGTATTTTTTTCATGCCATGCATGAGTCAAGCTGTAAATTATTACAGAAAATTATCTGAAAAGATGAACAAACATATGAAGAAGAAACATGAAAACACCACTTCCACATACCATACAGATTGTTTTATGCTGCCGTTGCACCTCGTCCTAAAATGTAATTTATTCTGGTTTAGAAGTGAAACCAAAGCAAGATTGTTTCTTGTTTATTTCAGAAATTCTTAGTAAACACAGAATTTTTGTTGTTTTTTTTTTTTTAATACATTCAAATTCTTTATAAAATTCTGCAAGTGCTACAACTCTACTTTTGAAGTATGAAACATACATAGAAACTGACTGCCTTTTTATAGAATCACAGAATGGTTTGGGTTGAAAGGAGCCTTAAAGATCATCTAGTTCCAGCCCCCTGCCATGAGCAGGG